GGGTTATGAAAGGGTCAAGACTCTGGTCTGGAGGTTTTTTCGTGGTTTTAAGAGGAGCTGGAGCAGCTTTTTATTAGTTTTTAGTGTTAGGTTATTAGTAGGATGATTTTATTGTTTTTCTGTATTACTTGGTTCAAGTCTTTTCGGTTCCTAGCTGTTTTCCGGGAATTCTTCTTTTCCCCGTCTTCTGTTTGGTTGGTGGTGGCTATCCAGTGGTTTGTGCTTAGGTGGGTGGGTTGTATCTTTTGTGTTGGTGATCTGCTGTGTATGAACGTGTTCTGTTGCTAGGAGGAAGCGAAAGTTTGAGTGTAGCTAACAGAAGGGGAGTGGTTGTTTGAGGTAGTTCTGCGTGGGAGATCACTGCAGTTTCGGAAGGAGCTTGAATATGTTGTGGAGGCATTGTTTTGTGTGGGTGAGGCAGTGGGCGATGTTTTCTCTGCTTCGAAAGGCGGTGAATCAAAGATAAGGTGGTTGAGCTCTCGGGTTTGCATTGGTTAAGGAAATTAGGAGGTTGTCGGAGATGGTGCTCTGACATGTTGGTAATCGCGTGCCGGTCTTCTCGTGGAAATAAGAAGTTTGTCGGGTGTCTGCAAGCTCCTATTCGAGCTTCAAGTCTAATTTTTATTTGATTATGGTCAGCTTGTGCTTAAGGAGTAGGTGATGGTCCTTGTTCCGAAGAGGTTTGGGCAGCTGCACATGGTTCTGATTGCCAGTAGAGTGGCTCTTTTCATTAGTTGGAGGTTGTTACAAGGTCGCTAGTGGGGTCTGAGGTGGAATGTGTGTTGCTTTCGATGATTAGTGCATGTGAGAGAGCTGCAGATCAGTGATACACCGACAGTTCGTTATGGGGTGTCTGTGCTTGGTTCTGTTGGCCAGAGAAGTGGAACCTTTAATGTTGTGGAGTTGGCTAGTGGGGTTCACGTGGGCTCAGAGTTGGGATTTTGTGATGCTATAGAAGATCTGGATTTGCAGAGAAGGTGGGGTGCCGCTATGTCGATATGGGTGTTGTGTGTGTTTTGTTGTAGTTTGGGGAATGCATTGCTGGATGTAGTGTGTTTTGTTGTGGTTTGGGGTTTGTATTGCTGGATGTAGTGTTTCCCTAGTGTACGATCTTTTCCATCTCTTGTTTCACTCTTTTTTCTCCATTTAAGGTTAGGGAGGGTTTTTAACGAGGGTTTTGAGGTGGTGTACTTTACATTCGTTTATAATACAAAGTACCATCTTTTCAAAAAAAAAAAAAACATTTGGATAATCAAATATTTTGTCTAAAAATTATAACTCATAACTTTAAAAGTTGGAGAAAAATATAAAAAAAATCTCCAATTTTTAAAGTTATATGTTCGACATGAAATTTGTATGTACAAATACGATACTAAGTTACAAAATATAAATTAAATATTACATCATCATCTGATTGACCCATAAACCAAATACATCTAAACATAATTTACAAATAATAAAATTCAAATTAGAATAAAATCCGAAGAAAATCTAAATATTATTCGTATAAAATAAGATTCAAAATATCAATCTATTTTAACTATCAATTGAAATATTATTTTATATAAATAGTATTTTCATTTCATCCGAATTTTATTCTAATTTAAGTTTTATTATCTATAAATGAACTTCATGTGGAAGTTTATTAATGAAAACATAACTATATATTAGTTATATGTCAAAGACGTGCCAACCTATTTAACTATCAATTTAAGGCCTCTAAATGCATAGTCACCCAAAATTATAACATATACACAAAATCAAAGCTATCGAGGCATTAATGTTAGTATAGGTTGATATCACCTACTCTTATTTTACCCAAAATTGTATAATTGAACCTTCCAATAAAAAATGTGATTCATATTAAAAATGGATAAAGTACACAAATGATCACTAAATTACATTGAATTGATTATTTTATACATTAAAATTATAAAAATTATAAAATGTCATTCAATTTCCCAAACGATTACACAATGATCATTAAACCTTATCAAACTATTGTAAAATAGTTATTAAACTTATTGAACTGTTGCAAAATAGTCCTTAAACTTATCAAAATTTATTAGTATTTCTAATGTATGAATCATTTGTAACAATTTAATAAATTTAATGATTATTTTATAACTTCTGAAACTTCTATGACCACAAGGATCATTTCAACATGTTTCGGTCGCCATGTGTGTATTTCATCCCATAGAAAATCCATAAATAAACTTAAAAGCATACTTAATTCTTTGGTCAAACCCCACTTCAAATTAAGTATTAATAACTCATTTTGATAATATATAAACCCTTAATAAAGAAACATCGAGGAAATATAAATCACCCTTTTCAATTTATATTAATAGGAAATATAAACCTATCCAAGTTTGCCAAATATTTAGTTGCATGCAAACAAAGCAGGTTTGTTTGAAGTTAAATTCTCGTATATACCATGGAAATCGTGCCTGCACGATACCTACGCGCAAGGGGCACCTCACTTTCTCTAAAACAAAAAAACCCAGATCTCCTAATCATATCTTATTGTTGTTAAACCTAAATTTCCAAATCAAAAAATAGGATTAGAGAGGTTTTGAGCCTCTGTCTTTCCCGGGCTCTCATTTCCTCCATTTTTTTATGTGCTGGTTTTGGAGCCTTGGGGAGTTGGGGTTTCGTTTCCCAAGCAAAAACGATGATAAGGAAGATGTGCCCTAATCTCGATAAACAACACGCCCTGGAGACCGTCCTGGAAGTGCCTATCCCCGAAGAAATGTACATCCAAATGGGCACCAGCGCCGCTTTACGGTGGCGGAATCTCCGAGCTTCCATGAAGGCACACTCGGCTACTTTCGGCAATATACCCACAGCCCATCTCCAAGCTAAATCGGATAATGAGTTCTTGGCTTTGATTAAGATTGTCGGCGCTCCTCTCATCCCTTTCCAAGTCCATTTACTCAGTTGCGCACTTACGTCTCCCCTTAAAAATTTTCCCATTGTAAGTACAAAAAGATTCCCATTTTTTGAGCCACTCAACAACCCAAAGACATACATGAATGATAAGGGTGTTATAATTTTGTAGGAATCTTCGACTGCAAAATATATAGTGCACCAGTACGTGGCGGCGTGTGGAGGGCATTTGACGTTGAGTTCAACGACGAGCATGTCCGCAGTGGGACACGTGAAGATGAGGGGTTCGGAGATGCAAGCAGGCGATGATAGCGTGCAAATAAGGAAGGGTTATGAGGTGGGGGGGTTCGTATTGTGGCAGAAGAACCCTGATTTGTGGTATTTTGAACTTGTGGTGTCGGGTTATAAGGTTAGTGCAGGCAGTGATGGTAAAGTGGCTTGGAATCAATCCTCTTCTCAACCTGGTCATGCTAATCGAGGCCCTCCAAGACCCTTACGTCGATTTTTCCAGGTACTTCAATAATTCTTCATTCACTTCTTTTGTTGTCTTTGGATGAAATGAACGTGGCCGCCTAGAGGGTCAAAAGGCACAACGATGCTAATAAACAAAAACCAGGAATCAAACTAGGTTCACGATCACGTTGGACCATCACACAATTCCTTTTTGTTGCATATGTGAATTCTGACCCGAACTCAAAAACTCGATCCGATTAATTCAAGTTTCTAAATCCGTTTCAATATAATTTGAACATTGATTAAACCATAAGAAAATGAAATGACTCAAATATATATATTTCAAATTTTAAACTCCAAAGTCTAATCCAAACAGCTATAAGTACAATATATTCCAACACTATAATTCAATCGACCTATTTTCTAAGTTTATAAAATATGATGTGATTTCTATATATTATATAATTTATATGACATGAAATAAAACTTATAGTAATATATAAAAGATAATATTTTTTAAAAGAATAATATGATCGAATGGAAAACAAATTTAAATTATTTATTTATAAATACAAATAAATTTAAATAATATTTAAGATTTATATTTAAAGATAGATCAAATTTAAAGAAATATAAAATATATCATTTTGATACGTAAAAACGATGTATTTGCTTGCAATTGAGGTTAACTTGGGAGTGTGTGAATTCCTAGGGATTGGACCCAAGGTGTACGGCCAGCTTATTCGAAGAAGCGGTTTGTATAGGAGAGCGGAGAGTGGACGACGAAGATTGTTTCGTCCTCAAGCTTGAAACTGCCTCAAGTGTACTCAAGGCTCAGAGTTCAGATCAAACGGAGATAATCCATCACACCATCCGGGGATATTTTAGTCAAAGAACAGCGCTTCTCGTGAAATTCGAGGACGAAAAGCTGGTGACGATGAAGGCATCAAAGGGGAGCGACCGTGTATTCTGGGAAGCCAGCGTGGAATCGACGATTAAGGATTACAGACAAATCGATGGCATTAAAGTAGCCCATAGTGGGAAGACGATGACAACGCTTTACAGATACGGCAAGTCCATTAATCACAAGAGGAAGATTGAAGAAACATGGAGGATTGATGAGGTTGATTTCAATATTAGTGGATTGCCTTATGAAACTTTCCTGGCCCCTGCTGATCTTAAGAGAGAGCATGAACAATGATTGATAAACCTAGATTTTTCTTCTCTTTCTCGTTGTACATATAGGAGAGAAATTATGATTTGTTTTACCTTTCGAGGTTAACTAGTTATTTCAAGACTTGTTCTTTTCAAGTTATAATTATAGTTATAACTGTACATATAAATAATATATGAATAATTAATAATTGAGATGTGTTCATACGAACACATAGAATACCAAGTAAAATACACTAAAATTATTAAATCTATCCAATACTATAAAATTCGATAAAAATTTAATGTTTATTAAAAGTAAGAGGTAAATAATTGAGAATTCAGCTGGTATCAAAGATGATGAAACAATTAATGCAAATACTACTGAACCATGTAAAAACCCTTTTTAGTGATCAATGAATAATCCTCCGATAGAAAAAAAACAATTGCTCCTGCTCTATAAGGTTAATTAAATAAAAATAAATAAAAAAACCCTAGCTGCACATTTACAAACAGTAAAACCAAATGTATTTACAACTAACCCCACATCTCAAAATCAGTCGAGTTTTGTCAATCTTCTACTGTCTGAATCTCACCCATCGTAATCCGATTGCTGACCACATTGAATACCAGAACAGCCGGACTCACCTTCTTTCCTTTCTTCTTCCCTCCCCCCTTCAAAGACCCATCTTGGCTGACTCCGACATCTTGGTCAAAATCCTCAATGTTAGTGTTGCCTGAATTCACATTTTTGGTTCCCAACTCTGTTAACTTTCCGTCATGTCGCCTTTGAAAAGCAATTCCTTATAGTTGGGGAATTTTTCAATGAACTCATGATTCGGATCAAATGATCCAAGGTTCTCTACAAGAAGTATCTCAGCCTCGGATCTAGATTGCTTCAAACAAAATTCCAAGAAACTTGTATCTAGCAAAAGAATAAGAATGAGATACAAGATTAAAATCAATCAAGTATTACCAGCTTCATATATAGCAGAAGTACAATTACAGTCTCAGAGAGCTGGGACCAACAATGATTAAAAGGAAATCATCTTAGGCTGGAAAAGAGAAGAAGAAATCAAAGTTAATATGATCAGTACTTTACCAACATTGTTTCCTACACATAGGCATGCCTATTGTTCCAATAAGCCTAGCACATTCACTCACACCAATTTCTGAAATCCGTCAACTCTGCATAATAGTTGAATGCATTGTGATGTTAAATCTTATGAGGTAGTAAAAAAAATCATATTGAGACCATTCATCTTAATAGAATGACTTACCAGAATGCTTGGTCAACATATCCCTTTTCCCTTTAAGGGAGGACAGAGTCCGCTCAATAGGCCTGCCACCTACTGACTTTTGCTGATTTAATGACCCACTTGCAGTTCCTTTAGTAGGTATGCTTTTTGTTCCCCAGCTGCCCACATTTGCTAGAACTGGGAAATCACCTCTGTTTACCCAAAAAAAAATCATATACCCAATTACTGATTAACTTTTTTGCTTCCTTCCGTTTGCATATTAAGTCAGCGACTCACAAACTTTTTTGCTTCATCTGTTTGCATGGAGGTAAGAACCAATATAAACTCCAGTTGTTGATAGCATAAAAAATGGCAAAAAGAATTCCCATACAAACTCCAATAGTTCCGATAATTAATTTTAAGTTGAAGTGATAATTCCGATTTTCCTTTTATCAGAAGAAAAATACCCTCCAGCTGCAGTACTTAGCTGCTCTGGATAACATTCTTTAGAGCAGGCTAGGCAGCAGCTCAAATGACAAGAACCCAACTTTCCAACCCACTCAGTATAGTAAGGCAGGAAAAGACTAAACAAGAGTAGAAACAATTGTGTGTAATCTTTTTTTTTTCATTTTTGGCAAAGGGGGAAGGGTGAGTAGGGAAGAGAACATACTGTTTTGTTTCTTGCTTTGTAGGATTAATCGGACCCCAGAACAAATCATCTCCTTTATATTTTGACTGAGATGCATGAGAATTTATCTGGAGTGGAGGTGCAGTCTTTGATGGTGAAGATGCAGTTATGGACCATGATGAAACACCCACTGGAGTTGACAGATTTGGCTGAGATTTATTAGCTGTTATCGGATTCATGGGCTGGGCAGAGGTATTCCTATTCCGCTCCTTTTGGATGTCCCTTAATGATGTGGGTTTAGGAAGTTTCTTAGAATCAGCAGACAATGCTGGAGCAGGAGAAGGGTTAACTTGATCCTCTTTCCAAGGAACAAAATCTCCCAAAGGACGACCTGAGGGAATGGAAGGCAATACTTCCTTCTCCAGCTGTGCTGCACGAGATCCTTAGCCTTTCTCAACAGTATTTGCACTAACAAGAACGGTGTCAACAGTATTAAGAGGAACCGAAACTTTTGCTCCTGTTCCCTTTCCTTTGGCAGACTTTTTCCGGCTCTTTTTAGTTTCTCTAGCCTCAATAAAATTGTCATCATCAATAGGTTCCACATTTGTAGTGGTAACATTGGCAGATGTACAAACAGTGCCAGGAACATCTGCATCTCTTTCCCTGGATTTTGCCAAAACTTCTTCTGCCAGCAGGTCATGTAATGGGCTCTGTTTACTCATTGACTTTAAAGAGCTTTCAGTTAAAACAGTAGCTGACAACTAAATCTGCATCTATTTGACTGTCTCTAGAAACTTTGGGTTCTAAACTAGATACAACCCCAGCCCACGGAGTTGACAAATTGATAAGAGTTCACAGAAGTAACCTCTGATACTGCCACCACTGTTTGAGCCTTCCTCTGTTCTTCCTGTTGGATTTCCAATAATGACTTTGGCTTGAAACCAGGAGCAGGTTTCCAAGCACGTACAGACAGCTGTGCAATTGCGTTTTGCACGGGGAAAGAACCAGAAAGTCGGGACTCATCCTTTAGTTCTTTGGTTTCATCATCAACCACCACAATGTTAGAACCTGAAGAGCTTTTAGCATGGTGAGAATCCATTGGGGAAATACCGGAGTTGTTCTCTTCTGTCTTTTCAGGAGTCATCACATCAATGTTATGTCCAGCGCTGTTAGTGTCACCAACAACTGGCGCTTCAGTTTCAAATGGTTTCATTTGCACCGAAGAGGAAGCCTTGGAAAGTCCCTTCGCAAGGTCAGAAGCTTGTGATTTACCAGCTTTTTGCTTTCTAGACTTCTTTCCAGAAGTTTTTCTTACTTCATCAGCTTCAACACTCTTAGCTTCTCTCAGTACAGAAGGCTTCTCCTTGCTTTTCTCTCTTTGAGCTTGCAGTTCATCGGTAGCAGCAGTAGCTTGAACATCCTCATTAGGTGCGTCAGTTTTTACATGTTCTAGCAGTAGCAGTTTCATCATGTTCCAAGGTTCCACAACTAGCAGCAATCGCAAGGGGTACGGCTGGTACAGTTTCATCTATCTTCTTAGCGAAGTCCCATGGCGGCTCCACAGTCGGAGCACGGCAGTTTGAAGCAAGGCGTGGCTCTTGCACAAGGGAAGTCTCCTGAGAGGATAAGTTAACTTCCAATAAAGGAGAGCTTTCAATGATTGTTGTCACTGGTAAAGACTGTTGGATGCCATTAACCAATTCTGGTGCATTGGTCCCCAAGTTCTTCTCACAATGGATACTACTGAGCATCTCATGAGATAGAAGAACAGGCCGAGATCCAGAACTCACAGCATAACTCATATCCCTGAAAACTTGTGGAGGCAGATTCATTAAGTTAAAGGCATGTTCATCTTGGGTGACTGGGATCTGCGAACCAGTCTGAAGAATATCTAGTGACGATGGCTGAAGTCGACTGGGATCCATGGATGAATTCCCTGTTGGTATTGTAGTCTGTAGGTGTCCGTAAGAGGGTTCACCAAATAGCTCCTGGGATTGATGTCCTTGCAAAACCTGTGAGAGCAATTGTTGTTGTCATAGCAACTTTTTCTGTTCCTTCTCTCTCAGTTGCTGCTTAAGCAACATGATCTTTTCAAGCAGCAACATCTGTTGTGTTTGTTGTACTGGCGTCTGGGGTTGTAGCAAAATACTGCTGCTGCAACATATTTAGCAGTTGGGAGTCTTGAGGTATAGTGGAGATAAAATTTTCAGGTTTTAAGATGCCAGATGGATTATCCGTAGGTTGAACAAGTAAATTACTCAAGGAAGGTTTGAGTCGGTGTTTGCAGCCTCTGTTGCTGAATCCCAAAGGGTGCTTGGGTAGGAAAATTTTGAGCATGATGTAACTCAATCTTTTCTTGAAGAGGATCCAATGCACCTTGTGCAGGGAAATTCAACCAACCACCTACACTATTATTTACCCCAGGAGCAGACCCCGTCAGGTAATCCTTGGAGGATGGACATCAAATCAGCACCTTGCGAATGAGGTGGCTGAAGAGTGCTATCAGTCAATGGTGTGAGGAGTGTTACATGTGCTACAGGTGATTCAGAGATGATATCTGGCTTTGAAACCAAAGATGCAGCATCTCTCCCAGGCCAATGAGGGTAGGGTTTTGGTATTGACCTCTGCCGTTCCAGAGTCGTTCTCTTTCCCAAGAGATACAGATCACTCCCATTTTCTGTTCCAGATGCCAGAATGCTACTAGGATTATTTGGAGGATATCCTTGCATACACAAAGCAAAGCCATACAAGACATTAGGCAGGCATTTTGAAATTTATGAATTAGAACCCTAGAATTACCTTCAGAATTCAGCAAGTACAAATTAAATACTAGAAATAAATAAACAAACGTGTGTATCTGTGTGTAAAAACCAACCTTGGGATTGATTGCTCATGCCACCAGACATGAGTAACTCCAAAAACCTATTTTCAGCTTCTGTTGCAAGCCTTGGCTCATTTCGAATCATGTCAATATCGCTTGCACCAGTATGAACTTTCCCGAGCCTACTAGAATTTGGCCTGCTTGACAAATCTGAGAATTCACCCTGTTTTGGCATACCGAATCCAGGTGGCGGCCGTGCTTTAGCTCGTAAGTGGGGCATCACATCACCGAGTAAGGAAAATAGTGAGTCCTTCGGTGCACCTGCAAGCCGAACTTCCAAATCTATTCCAAAATATCCTGCCTCAAACCAGCCTATGACATCAATCCCGGAAAAAGGGCCCTGAATTTCACCTTGAGGATCTTAGTGAAGGGTAAGGTCCTCCAGAGCAGGCAGCTTCCTAGGTTCAGGTTCCCTCTCCAAAATGCCGGATAGTTGCCTCTTAAGGATAGGATCCACACTTGCCAATTTTACTTTCTCGTTGGTTAATCATATCTTCCCGTGGTCCTGACATCATTTGGAATCTCCTTCCAGTCCTGTTTGACTATAGGTGATTTTTCTCCCAATAAAGAGGTTCGCCACACGGTGCCAGGATTAACTGAGTTTGTGATTAGTATACTTGATTCCCTACTTATGGGAACCTCTTCATCCCTCCTGTAAGGACCCCTATTCTCCACAGCTGCAATAATATAAATGAATAGAGATCAATTCTCATAGTCAAATAAATGCAAGTCCAAAATGGAAAGCAACAAGACAAATCTACAGAATACAATGCAGTGCGGTGAATTTAAAAGTACAGAAAAGATGGAATTCAAAGAGAGCAAAATCCCAATCATGAAAACTAGACAACCAATTCAATGGACACACAAATGTAATCCACGATAATTAATTATATCCTTCCACATATCAAACCTCAACTAGCCCTTAACCCCAAGACAAACAAATTCATGTTGGCTATCTGAGTCCTCTTTTTGTTCCAACCCATGTAGCAGTAGTTCTTTTGTTTCTTATTCTTAAAAAGTAGCAGTAATTGTTTAAAACAAGTATCCATGAAATAGTTTCTCATATGGTTCAAAAACCTCAATTGAAAAAACCTCACATCCAAAGAAATAACTGCAAGATTGTTTCCAGAGTTGTTACCAAATACAAGCTAAATGGTTTATGTAATTATACCTTCCGGTTTTAATTTAGTATCTGGTTATCCCTTCAGCTTTTCAAACTGTGAATAACTGCTGTTTGGAATGTCAGATCTTTCCTCTTTAGAATCATCAACAGCAGGTGGTAAATCTTCTCTACTTCCTGCATAAATATATTCAGCAAAAGTTAGACTGCTTCGAAATATAAACAAACTTACAATAGAATATATCTGGAATTATTTGAATACCAATCTTGTTTCGTCTTGAATGAGTAAATTCAGTAGAGTTCCGGCCGACAGGCCCATCTTTAGCCATCAGTGGAGCACCACCACTTGTTATGTCCCCTTTGCCAATTCCACTTAGAACAAGCTATCAAAGAAGCATTAATATCAACAGTGGAGTCTAAATCAAGGTTAACCATCATATACATAAAAATTAAATAATAAAACTAGCATATTACCATTTCATCAGGATTAGGAGCACAAAGAGCAAGGGGATCCAATGGTTCATTCTGTGTAAGTGAAGGCACCGATACAGGCTCTTCTACGAATTTCTCGTAAACTCTCATGTCAGTCCTCATATATAAGTAGCAATTTTTTTCTACTATATCTTAAAGGGGATGGCTCCCCACATTCAATATCACCCTTCTCAGATGTGATTCACAGATTTTGATGATGAGAAGGTATACTAGCCCCTGGGTTTCCACCAGAACTTCCCCTTGCATGACCAGAAGAAAATGTTGATGGATGACTTTCACCACGTCCCTGGCCGTAAGAAAACATGGGAGCCTGTTTGCTTGGAGTTAGTGTGGGGTGATGAGGAAGCTCTCCCCTTCCTCGACTTTGAGAAGAGGTGGATCTCCATGGCCGAAAGTGGTCACCCTCCCTCACTTCCTTTCCATGACTGGAAAGATGAGACAACCCTTTGTCAAGAGGCATATTACCATCTCTTCCAGAGTCAGCCCATTCTCTCGTGACCTTTCATTGTTTTTATCATCAGGCCCCCAGCGTGTGTTCCATTTGCTCTCTCGCTTTAGATCATAGTTCGAATCCCTGTTACCTAATTGGTCCACTGCTCGGTGGGTGCACGGCGTGCTTCTCCAAATTGTTTCGAAGGCAAGTTATCTGCCCATCGATCCATCATGCGGGTGTCACCGAGCTCTTTATCACCATCCATCCAATGATCTTTGTGCACAGATGAATGGGTGTCTCGTTCTTCATCACGCCATTGTTCTCGCCGACCAGTTTCCATATCAAGTAAGGATGGCCTAAAAACATCCTTCTTTGGGGTATCATGCATCCCCTCACCATTTTCCAGCGGCTTCACGACTTCGGAGCAATCTCCATAAGCTGTATACGGAGCAGGATGATTTTTTGTATGGATGATTGAAAATTAAGGAGGACAAAATCTAAGACAGTAAGAATATCAAACAGAAGATTTAACTAATTCTTTATATGAGAACTGTATGTTGATAGAACACTGGAGAACACGCACATACAACATGAGACCCATCCATAAATGAATAATAACAACATGGGTCAAATAACAGATAGCTAACACAACAACAATAATAACATACCATAGTTCCTATTCCAGGCTTACTCTCCCCTGGCTTTGAAAGAAGCCATTGTGGTGAAAGTGGAATAGGATTGCCTGATCCTTGAACATCTACAATAAACAAACAGAACCATCAATTAGAAACAGACAAATTTTCAAGCAAGTATTTGAAATCAAAATGCTTAGTCTGGTACAATGATGGTGCACAATAGGTACATTAGAAATGATTCAAGTCCTGATTTTGTTGAGGGGTAAATTCTTCTTTTGTCTGACAAATGATCGAATTTACCTCACGGAACTGCCACATCGGTATATCATTTAATAAGAAAAATACACGCAGAAACACAACGAAAAACAAATACGTTAAGACTAGAAAGGCATCATTTGGAAAGCCTGATTCGACTTCCAAATGAAGCATTTCAAACTAATAATAAGCCAAAGGAATTTATCAGTAAAACATATTCACTAAGCAGATAACAAGAAAAAATTACACAGTCAATTGACAGTACAAAGCAAAGGATACATTTATAAATAGAATATAATGTATAATTAACACATAAATCCTAACATTTGAATCAATGATCGAAAGAAAAAAATGTGCAGAAAAAGAAATTGAAGAAGTATTCCAAACTAGTTTTGAGTTGAATTAATCAGAAAAAATAGAACAACTTCAGTCCGTCTCCACCCGCGATAAGTCGGAAACTAAAGTGCGTCAGTTTAAAGCACAAAGTGGCACCAGAGTAAAATGAGGCAAAAAGAAAAAAGAGAAAACATTCCATTTCTGGATGATAAGCCAAAAACCCTAACTTCGAAGCAACCAAATGAACAAAACACGCATCAATCTCATAAAACAACTGAATCTACAATAATGCTTTCAATTAACACAGCTTAATGAGCAGAAAAGGAAATGGTAAGAGCTAGGGTTTTACAAAATATGAAAGGAAGAAAGAAGCCGCTAATCCTTGATGCTAGAAGGGAAGAGGAAATCGGCGAGGTAAACAACCTTTGGGGACCGGAAGGGGAGGCCTGACGGTGAGGTGGCGGCGGTAATCGGAGGCAGAGGTATCAGCCATGGATGATCGGAGAAAGAGACAGAGACAGACAGACAGAAACAAATGGTGCATTTTTGTTTTTCGTTCTCTTTTTCCTTTGCTTCGGTTGCGCTAAGCGAGGTGGGGGGAAAATAAAATGGGGGTAAACTACGGACATAGTAACTTTAGTTTCATGATTGTTCTTTTTAGGTATCAAATTTAAAAAGATAACATTTTGATCACTTATATTATCGATTTATAATATTTTAATCATTTATATCATTAATTTATAATATTTTCATCACTAAAATTTTAAAATAATTATTTTAATGATTTGAAACTAATAATAAATTAATTTTAATTTAATTTATAAATTTTAAATAAAATATTAAGTCGTCTCTTAAATTTTAAATAAAATATCAATTTAATTTATAAATATGATCAAAATCCTTTATCGTCAGTTGTCGGTCATTATTGATCGTCGTCGCTGATGATCATTGTATCATAAATTTTTTAATTTACTCTTTTTTTGACTATTTGAAGTTTGTATATATTTCTTTATCATTAAAATTTAAAAAGTTATATTACAATCAGAGGTGAGTGTTCGATCAAGTCGAGTCAAGTTAAAAAATTTGAGATATTCGAGTTGACGAATCTTATTTTATAACTTGAACTTGATTTTCATTTTTTTCAAGTCGAGTTGAGTTGTTCAAGTTTCTATTTAAACATAATTGTAAAAATTATAATATTATGATACTATTTTATTCCAATTTAGATGATTTTCTATAACAATACTCAACACATATATTTCTTCATATTTTTTCATATGGATATACATATGTCATTCAAATAAGAGGGACTCGAGTCAAACTTGAAAATCATTTCACTAATTACTAAAAACTTTGAGTTATTCAAGTTTTATTTTATAACTCAATTTGTATTTAAAATTTTTCCTAATCGAATTCATGCAATTACAATTTAAAATTTGACTAGAATTGAGTTAAAAATATCAATTTTTTGAGTCGAATTAAATTTTACTCACCCTAATTACAATCTTTAATATTATTAATTTGAAATAAAATGATCATTCTACCAAAGAGTTGACTATTTTATTACAAGTCAATAACATCAATGATAGTAAAATAACTTTTCAAATTTCAATGGTAAAAAACGAAACATATCCAAACACTTGCAACCATTAGAATAATTTACACGTTATTTAATTCTAAAAGCATGACTTATATCTTATTATTTTAACTTGCATAAAACATACCTATTTGATTTTATTGTAAGAATATATTATATGAAGATCCTTTTAAAGATAACATATTTTTAAAAGAATGGACAATTTTTAAAATATTACAATATTAATATTCTATTAATGTCAGCTTTGATCAAACACCAACATAAACCTAAAAAATTTATTAACACGGCATAACCTTGGTGTATTCAGAGTTCAGACCACCTTTTTATTTCATTTTTTCACAAGTTTCTGAAACAGATATGATCAGGCTTAAGGAAATGGAAAGTATTCCAAAGTCTTATTAAATGGATCCATGCGCTAGCAAAAATCAACCACCACGAAACCTTCATAACATGGGAAAAGTTTGAAGCAAGATGAGGCACCGATGCGGTGCATCAAGATCGAGATAGTCGGCGGGTCAGCTGGGATATCAGAACTTCCCTGTCAAATAATGTTTAAAAGTTCAGCAACGGTGCAGTAATTGATGAAATACCATAGGTACTATAATTCTATGTTAGATTCAAAGATTTGCCGAAACTTTTCAAATCAATTTTCATTGGATCAACTCACTCAGGGTGATAATAAATTTGACATACCTGTAGATATCTTGTTAACAGTTTGGTAGTGCTGATATTAAAGCCTTCGATAGGCTTACTTTTCGTACGTGATGCGTTAAGCTGTTTTCGGACTTGAGTAGCTAGTGACTGCAAATAGATATTCTAAGTTCAGGAGTAAAAAACAAATTGCAAAGAAACAATTGGATACTGATATATGTCCTACGTGGGTAGACTTGCATCAGAGTCAAAGACAGTTGTTGTCTTTTGAATACTCGGGATCTCAATATCCAAAACTATATTTGACTGCCTTTTGAAAGGCGCTGCCTACGTGGTGTTCCTTTGCCAAAAGGGTGCTATTTTACTTGATAAACTTTTCTGGGTGCCGTTCACCTAAATAAATATTAAATGGGTATTATTCTAATAATATAGCCGGTACATACCTTCCCCAACTCGACTCCCCACTGGTCAAAAGAATTAATACCCCAAACAAAACCTTCCACGACAACTCTATGTTCATAGCTTGCCAAAAGTTGAGGCAACCAATAAATTGTATTAGATCAGACGAATGAAATACACATATGCATATACAGTACTTGAAAACTAAAGAACAGTTATAATTATGAGATAGTAATCTACTTAGTGATGCAAAACAATATGAATAATAGAAAAGTCCTCGACAACTATAACAAGTCAAAAAATATTTCATTAATTAAAGTTTAACAAGACGAAACCAGCTACCTGCCCAATATTGTAAGCATTAAGAGATGGAAGCAAAAGACTGAGAGAGGGCCGATTCCCAGAGAATGTCTGCAATATAGCAGAACAAGTTACAAAAATGATTGTATTATGAATTAAAGTCTGGTAAAAGAGCTTAAAGTCAACTAGACACCTTGTGAGGAATAAGATGCTGCGAAACATTCTCCTTCAGCAACTGGTCTGCTGTCTGAAGCGAATCAATTTTTTTCAGCAGCAATACATAATTTAGGCAACAATTCACGGAAATTTAACACAAATGCTTTAGCACTTGAAATTAAATGGTATTGGTTGTTACAATAATGATGAATAATGGATACCTCATAAAGAAAATGTCATGCACGAGAGAGAAGGCAGAGAAGAAGAAGTTAGACTCGAAGAAAGTAATTTGGGAATTACTAAGGAAGGGTTAGGGATTGAGAGTAAATCAATTGGGAAATTTAGGGATTGGATGAAAGAGGAGAGTGCACGTGGGAAGCAAGTGATTATTAAAACAATAGATATAAAAAGGGAAGTCCATTACCTATGCAGCAAGAACCGGCCTGCAATCCAGCCAACAGCCCAAAGGAGGAAAATATTTAGTTCTTATCTGCAGGGAATCTGTTAGAAGTTAGTTATACAGCTGTCACTTTCACAATTGCCATAGTACATTGTAATGCAAATAAAACCGTGTACTGGGGAAGAAAGAAATCACCTGATGAATAAATGAAATTCTGATTTCTGAAATCTCTATGCTTTTCTTCTTCTAAAACCTTTATTCCTTCGATTTTTCCTTCTCTATTCTCCTCAGTTCATAACAAATTGGTATACAGAGCCATCACTCCTGGCAATCAACGCTTGAGTATGCCAAAAAGAAACCAAACAATGCCAGAAAATCCTGATCTTTCCGCCATACGAAAACAACTTGAAGATTTAACAGCTTTGATGAAGCAATCACAGGATGAAACTAATCCTCCTAAATGGTGGAAAAAGCAGGAAAGCCGATTGAGTACGTTGGAATCTAAACTGGAAACAAATCAAAGATATGTGGAGTAGATCTTACATATTCTGAATGATAAAAAGAGTGAGCAAAAGCAAATTAATGGGGAATGCTTTACTCAACTACAGGAACAACAAATTCATGGGGAGAAAGGAATGGGTCAACTTTCACTGGGTGAGTCTAAACCCATTTTCCTCACTCCTAAAAGGATGTTATCGGTGGCAATAGAAGGCACATATAATGTTTCTCAAATGTTCGATAAAATGTCAGCAAGTGTAGCTAGTATTGTATTTCCATCTATCACCAGCACCATGAAAGCTAATTCACGGCTGCAGCAGAACATCAGTCTGGTTCGATACACCAAACTGATTTCGCGAGAAAATCGACTACAGCAGAACGTCAGTCTGGTTGGATACACCAAACTGATTTCGCGAGAAAATCGATTGCAGCAGAACGTCAGTCTGGTTGGATACACCAAACTAATTTCGCGAGAAAATCAAGAATTGCCTATGTCGGTTCAAGTTGCTACCTTTCAACCATTTGTCGTGGATTTATCCAGACTCTTGGAGGGCGAGACTCAAATGGTTATAAACTCACAAAAACAATTAGTTGATTTTCCTTCAAAGGCAAAGGTGGTTTATTTTCTACAGTGTCAAACATCTGGTAACTCAAATAAGCTGAATTCTCTAGTTCAATCCATGCTTAGAGAAATTTATTTCATGATGTTTATGACTACCAATGAACATATTTTGACCCTTGATCCTTATGTGTTTAGACTTTTGTGGATGGGACGGAGTATAATTTATATGGTTAGGAATTGGAGTGTGAATCAAAGGTTGCACCTTACGCTTTCTATTATGTTGAAGTTGGGTATACCGAGCATTTTCAGTGGTCTCCTAAAATTATTTCATGACTCCAAGAATGCACTGGGTAGTCTCTGTTTTGGCATAGATTGTTTTCATGCATGGTGCAACTTGAAAGTCAATGGGACTAGGAAGAAACTAAGTAGTCCTAAAGGTCAGGGGGAACAACAAATTAAATTTCATCCGTGCATAATCCGAACATTAAAGAGAAAAGGTTTTCTTGTTATTTATATGTCTGTTGGGCATGAACAGATTGTGGTAACTTATTTAGGTGGATATAGGTATATTGTTGGCTATAATTTTGAAAGAATGAGAAGTTCTATCCATCATTCCAAGTCTGAAAGTGGGCCGTTGGGTACAGGCAACAATTCTTTTGTTGCAAAGAAGAATAATGTTGTGAGTTATGAGGTGGAAAAGGGTAAAAGAGTGGACTGCAGAAGCAAAGAAAAGAATGAAAAGGTTGTCTCTGGTCAAGTCACTAGATCAAGAAGTTCTGCTCAACCTTCCATGTCTATGAGTGGGCTTTCAGGTGCAGGCAACACTTCTACTGTTTCTAAACAGGATGGTACGGTACCAGCAGAATCCATCTGCAAATCAAGACAACAGCTTGATGTTCATGAGTTATTGGAGTCAAAATTTGTCAGACCTGTTTATAATACTGTATATTGTGATGTGAAAACTGAAGAAAGAGGACAATGCTGGAGCAAAGCAAGGAGTGAAGATGTTTTCACAAGGTCAAGAAGTTATGTTCAATCTCCAAAATTTGAGAATAGTTCAACAGGTGCAGAAAAAAGTTCTACTGTTGAAAAGCAGGATAATATTGTGCTAACAGAATCCATTAAAAATCAGGACTAGAGCATGTTGTTGTTGTTGAGTTATTGCAATCTGTCAAACTAATTGATGATGATGTAACCTGTATGGTAAAAAAGCAAGAAAAAGGTCGATTTCAGAGCAAGGATCATCTGAAGGAGAGGGGAATTTGTAGTGTTGGAAACTATACACGGTATAGTGCAAATATCATGTTAAGTGGGTTGGTGGCAGATAAGAAAATTATGTTTACTCATCTAATGGAATATGAGGGTGTATTACGTTGGACTATTCTGGATTCAAAGATATACTATAGGGAGGAAGAATATTCTAGTTGCTATGAAGGATCAACTCTCCTTAGTTGGTATGGAGAAATTATTGACAGAACAATCATTCTCATCAATGTGGTTAATGCTAAAACTTATGAGGTTACTGATGCAGATTATAACAGTCCTTTGTTATTTGGGTACACATCGGTTCGATCAGATTCAGCTGCTGGAGAACTTAGATTGTCTGAATCAATTGAAATTTTTTTCCTTAAACTTCAAATGGTAGAGATGCTTGCTCTTATCGGAAAAGAAATAGAAGGTGGTGAACTAAATATTGTTGAAGTGATTCCAAAAGTTGAAACCCAACAGTGGGTTTGGGGCAAATATAAGAAAGATGTGGGGTATAAGTTTGGGTCTACTGAAGTTGGTCACAATGGAAACTTGGTGAACTACAAAGCTTTGAACGATTATTGTTCCAGTTTCAATACTAGTCAGAATTTAATCTTTTGGAGTGCTCTAATCTTGCAGCTGCCAATCCACGACCCATGCTTAGCTATTGGGTTTCTACCTCTTTATTCTGTTGGTCTTCGAGTTGGGCAACTTGTTACATTGAAACGGAGAAATGAGAGCCCAAAAGATATAGGGAAGAACAAAGTTTCACAAAACAATCATGGGGTGTTGTATGAAGTGAATGCGAATTTCGATAAACCACCTACTCTACTATGGTGTTTAGAATTCACAGTGCATAAGGTCCCAGATATATTGCAGAACAGAATTAAACAACATGCTGATAAAAATCGAAGTGAACGACAGTTTCAAATTGGAGAAGAAGTATACCTAAGATTGCAATCTTTCTGCCAGAATTTACTCGTACGATGGATGAACTTGAACTCAAATCACGATACTTGGGAAGCTCATACCAGTTTCATGTCTCGGTTTCCAAGTTTCGATCCTTGGGGACAAGGATCTACTTGTGGAGGGGGTAATGTCATGCACGAGAGAGAAGGCAGAGAAGAAGAAGTTAGACTCGAAGAAAGTAATTTGGGAATTACTAAGGAAGGGTTAGGGATTGAGAGTAAATCAATTGGGAAATTTAGGGATTGGATGAAAGAGGAGAGTGCACGTGGGAAGCAAGTGATTATTAAAACAATAGATATAAAAAGGGAAGTCCATTACCTATGCAGCAAGAACCGGCCTGCAATCCAGCCAACAGCCCAAAGGAGGAAAATATTTAGTTCTTATCTGCAGGGAATCTGTTAGAAGTTAGTTATACAGCTGTCACTTTCACAATTGCCATAGTACATTGTAATGCAAATAAAACCGTGTACTGGGGAAGAAAGAAATCACCTGATGAATAAATGAAATTCTGATTTCTGAAATCTCTATGCTTTTCTTCTTCTAAAACCTTTATTCCTTCAATTTTTCCTTCTCTATTCTCCTCAGTTCATAACAGAAAAATACTACCTTCCCATATGCCAGGGCATCTGGCTGTGCGAAAAAGTTGGACATAAGCTCATCATGGTTGCTCACCACTTCAACTGCCAATAATAATAATAAGTTAAAGCGCAATAGAAACAACAAAATATGCGATCTTCAAGTTAGAAACCACAGAGAAGTAAATAGGATTATACCTTTAAGGTACACAGGCTGCTGGCTCTTCACAATACCAATGAAATCACACGGAATTACACGTCCCTGAAGAGTCAAAAAGATTTGAGAATTACCGAAATTGAATCTATATACACAATGATAAGGCCATCGAGGTTATGCAGTAACAGAAAAAGTCCATCAAGACTAAGGCAGTTTAGTAAGTCAATTTGTTGATGGTAGTTTATTAAGATAATGTGTCGTATCTTCACCAGTCTCCATAAAGCTTTCTAGTCTCTTCATTTTATGCACAAACTTTCAAATTTACAGTTTCCTCTGGGTAGATTTAACTCTCCCGTGATCAAGCTCCGGGCATATAACTACGTTAGCATCTCAAATATTTAAGTTTTTCTAAGATGTTATATATGGAAATAATCATCCAATATCCTTCTGTCTTCAAAACACAACATAAAATTCACCTGGTGAATTAGTTGATAAAAGCTGTGCTGACCATTTGTTCCAGGTTCACCGAAATCAATTTCACCAGCCTCGTAAGGAAGTGGCACACCATCAATTGACACCCCCTTGCCATTACTCTCCATGCTGACCTGAATTGAAGTAGATTTAACAATATATAAGATTCGAAAACACAATCTCAATCCTCCAACACACACATGTACAAAAAAATGGTAGCCCAGCAAAAAATGAATTTCCAGCAAACATGCCTGTTGAATATGTGGAGCAAATTTCTCCAGGGCCTGGGAGTAAGGTAAAATAGCCTATATACACATAAAGTGTTAATGATAGCTCGTAAGAATGTAAAAGGGAGGAGGAGGAGGACCAAGAAATGGCAAGTTTAATGTTAGAAGCAGAAATACTCACTCTTGCAGGATAACCAAGAAATGAAACGTTCCATACGCTGAGCAAACCCAAAAGTATCTATAACAACCGAAGAATGTTATCACGCAATGTCATTATGTAATCACTAAGAAGATCTTAATACCAATTAGTAAAGATCTTGCAATATCAACCAAACTCATATTTGCAAAATGACTTATGCGTGGTTAAATGAAATATAGCATCTGGTATATCCACCTTGGGAATACGAAGAAGCAGCTTATACTGGATTACCATAACCTTAATCCCATTATAAATATTTTAGTCAAATTCATTAACCCCATAGTAATGCTGGTAGATAAAGTTTGTATCTGCACTGGAAAATGTTACATTAAGACACTTACAGGTATATTCTTCTCAAAAGGTGCTGAACGGAAATGATTATCAATACTTGATGCCCCCTTTAAGAACCTTCAAGTAACAAAAAATAAAAATAAAACTTTATTCAAGTATATAACTATCAAAGCACCAAGGAAATGAAGGATGGAGTATATAACTATCAAAAGAACAATGGAAATGAAGAATGGATTAACAGTTTGGCTGAAAATTAAAACCTAACTCTTTTATAATCACAATCTTAACTGTCATGCTTTAGCTATTATTAGGAGATTCTCATAGTATTCAAAATAGTTTCATCTCATGCATTAGCAACTAACATTTTTCATTGTCCATTAGGCTACAATTACTAAGAAATTGTTTTCAGCTACAACTATTAGTCAAGAAAGGAGAAATAAACTACTTCTCAGTGCAGCATGTAAAACTGAATTTCAAGATAGATGAACTCCATGGAGAAAATGAAAAAGAAATTCGTAAGTTCTGTTTGTTATATTTATTTGTACTTCCTTAGAACAGTGAAGCTGATTTTAAAATTGCCCAAATTTGTCTTACCTATCATATATGGACTTCTAATAGATGTTATATATAATAATTTATAGGCTTTGAGAAGGGAGGACAATATAGTCAAAACAATAAGTTACCATCACAGCAATTGAGGAACAACACATTCTAACATGATGTAAAAAAAAGTGTTAAGTTACCCATGAGCCACTGCGAACTTTCTCCGAAAAATCCTTGATCTTATCCAAAACATTCCAAACATCTGGCACCACATTCTTGCCATCACTGTTTATAACAGTGTCCCTTGGTGCACGAAGGGCTACATGAAGCACGGACCTATCCTCTGTGCTATTTATCTAAAATTTCCAGAAAAAAACACAAAGCTACATCATAAACACGAAAAGGGAAAAGGCATGAACAAACAATTACCATATCATCACCAATCTTTACAACAAACCCAAAACTAGACATCTTTCTCTAAGAAGAGTAAGACTTACGTGCTCGCCACTATACATTCGGTTAATTTGTTGTTTAAGAGAAGCAGCCTGCAATTATGAAGAGTATTTAAAAAAATCCGAACTATTATAATTTAAATCGACAATTCCATAAACAAGAATTATCCAGATTCACCTCTGCTAATTTATAGAGTTTATCCATGGTATCAAGAGTGGCGCATTGCCTTGAGTAGTCCAAAAACATCCCATCAAACTCCCTGTAGAAATATAAGTATACATAATCAAATATTTCATCATCTTATTACTATTACAAGTTTCGAGCAAATACCCAATCAGAAAAATCATAAGAGTCGAATATAGGATCTTACACCATCATCTGTTCGCATCGTTCTTTGTTGTTCATCAAATCACGAAGATGGGTTTTCTTGATATCCTCAACATGAGCCTACAAAACAATAAACCCAAAAAAAAATCAACAATAGGTTTCTCTTGATATTTTAGCTATAATCTGAGCTAGAAAATGAACGGGAAAGTTACCTTCAGGTCCTTCCATGGTTGGGTGTCGCAGATTAGAGTGGTCGAAGTCATTTCCACCTATATTAAAATGTAACAAATTAGCTTGAGATCTCAAAACTGATTAGGAAAATGGCAAAGAATTTGAGAAAACAAGAGGAATTACTGATTGAATCTGAAAAAAAAAAACTTGAAGCTGACAAAAAAGCTTTAACAAGCTCACGATATACTAGAAAAAAAAAGGTAAAGCAATGCTACGTGGCGGATAAATGGGAGGGTCGAAAGGGCTGGCCTATGTCAACTTGATGCGGTTCAGGCGTTCAGAAATTGCCGGTCATTGAAACTTGGGTCCGGTTTAACGGTTTTAGAAATTTGAGAGTTTTTTTTATATCTATTTAATTGAAAAAATAAGTAATTAAATTATTTTTTAATTTAAGTGTTTAAAAGATATTTTATTAAAAAAACTCTAATTGTTTATTTTATTATTATTTTAAGATCCAATAATCAATGTTGGTAAAAAACTCATCATTTAATGAATATAAGATACATGACCTGATTTTTTTAATATTTTAAAAAAATAAAATTTTTGTTTTCTAAAAGTCTCCTAAAATCTCCTAATTATTTTATAAAAATTTAAAATTCTTAATTTCTAAAGTATGTCTATCTCCATCGAATCAACCACCATTATACATTCTTTCTTCATTAAACCTATTTTGTTGTCATACAAAATCCACGAAATTTAAATTCTTAAATTAATTAATTATTTTTAATAAATCTAAAATCTCTACATTTTATCTCCTATCACCATTAAATCAATCATCAATATCTGTCTCTTTCTTCGTAAGATTTTCATTATTGATTATTTTAATCTTCTATTATTATTATTGACAATTAAGACACCATACCACCAATAACAAACGACACGTTACTCTTCTATCAACAAACAATGCACAAATGACTTGTAATGAGATGGGAGAAGGAGAATCGTGTTAGATTTTTTTAGAAATATTTCAGGATTACATTTTTAGATAGATGTGTTCTTTTAGAAAATAGATATTTTGGTTTTTTTTAACAACTATTAAAGGGTTTTAAAATTGAATTATGTCAAATAATGATTGTGTAATAATTTCTTTTAACATACGCTTGGTGATTAAATTTTAAAATAATTAAAAAATATTTATCTTAAAATAATAATAAAATAAAGGATGATGTTGCTAATGATGAGCATCATTAAATTAATTTATAAAACATTAAATTATAAAATATTAATCATATAATTATAAATTAGTTAAAAATCTAAATGCAATTTAATTAAGATACAATATTTATAAAATATTAGTTTTTAGGTAAATTATATCATTGATCACCTAACTATTTACCCCTTTAACTTTAACGATCGATTTTTTAATTTTGTCAATTGGGTCACCTAACTATTTAAATCTTGTCAATCAAGTCACGTGCCGTTAAACATTAACTGAGGAGATGATGTGACAGTTAATAAATTTGTATAATTAAACATCTAGTCCTAATTATTTACACATTCTATTAATTTGGCCCTAACTTTTATTTAATTCAATAAATTTAATCCTCAATCCGATGGTGACACATGTCACTCTATGATTGAATGAATGAAAAATAAATTAAATTAATAACCGCAGCTGGTGGAGTTTGAACTAGGATTCAAGCCAAAAAATTAAGCGTCTTAACCACTAAGCTAAACCACTAAATTAGTCTACTATACATAATATAATATATGTAATTTAATGGTAATAAAGGACCTTATGAGGACCCAAACATGAAATAATTGAATAGTATGAAAATAAAATATATATATATACATATATATATTATAATGAATTAATAAATGAATATTTTTATTTATATTTTAAATCACATTTATTGCAACAATTAAAATAAAAGTGAATTTAATATGTTATAATTGAAACATATCATTTTACATGTTTTAAATTAATAAATTGTTTTTATTATTCTAATTTTATTGAATTAAAATATATCATATCTTATGTTTTAAATATTATAACATCGATCGAATTCTAATCTTATTTAACAACTCTATATTAAAATAGACTAATTCAATAAAATCAAGTTTCCCCCAAATTTTTTCTTAAAATATATAATGAATAAATAATAAAATATAAAATTCTTACTCTAACCGGAATGTAAACAAGTCAATGCATAAGTTAAAATGTTTACTACGATAAGTCCTCAACTATTAGGAAAATTCTAAGTCAACGAAGCTCTTCGTTATATTTCAATTATAACATATTAAAATTATTTTTGTTCTTCATTAAAATGATTTAAAATATAAATAAAATACAATCACATATTAACCAGTTATAATATTTGTGTGTGTATATATATCATATTATTCAATTATTCAATTATTTTATGTTGTAGTTCTTATTAGGTCATTTTTTCTTTTTTATTGCCATTAATTATATATATTATGTCGTGATAGGTTTGTCATTTGAATGGTGCATCCCAGTGGTTGGGGCGTTTGTTTCCTCTCCTCACGTTTTGAGTTCTCAAACCTTACCAGCAGTTATTGATTCAAATTATTTTCTATTATTTCATTTAGTGACACATGACACCATTTGATTGGATGAAAATTTATTAAATTAAATAAAAATATAAAGAAAAAATTAATCACATAGTGACGCATATCACACTCTGATTGAGGATTAAATTTATTGAATTAATTAAAAGTTATGACCAAATTAATAGAATGTGTAAGTAATGAAGAGTAAATGTGTAATTATACAAATTGTATTAACTGACACGTCATATCCTCTGTTAATATTTAATGACATGTGGTTTGATTGACAAGATTTAAATAGTTAAGTGACCCGATTGACAAAAATTAAAAAAAAACGGTGAATAAAGTAAAAGGGGTAAATAGTTAGGTGGTAAATGGTATAGTTTACCCTAAAAACTAATGTTTTATAAATATTGTATTTTAATTAAATTACATTTAGATTTTTAACTAATTTATAATTATACGTTTAGTAATTTATAATTTAATATTTTATAAATTAATTTAATGATACTCGTCATTAACCGTGCTTATTTACACTCGAAGAGTAGATTTTTTCTAAAATAAAACATTGAACACCTATTAAAATAAAGGCCTAATGTAAAAAAATCAAATTATAATTTTTGTTAATTTTAAGTGTTTGAAGATTTTTCGTCAAGTAGGTGTTTAACATTTTCGATCTTACCTTTTTAGGTATTTGATCCATCACGACCGTTAAAAAATCGTTAATTGGCACATATAACATTTATCAAATTTTAAATATTCTATTTGTATTTAAAATTTTAAATATATAATTAAAAAACTCAAATTTTTATAAAACTACAAAAAAATCAAAATCTCTTAATATCTTAATTCCAATATCTTAGCATCTACTGCCATCGATTGTCACCAGTGTCATTAATCGGTCAAACATCCAACATTGTGCGATCGGCCAAACACGCAACGATTAAAATCTCTTACTTTTACGACTGACCGAACACCCAATCCTATGTAAATGCATGATTTCAGGGCTGGTAGAATGCATTTCTCCAAGCTACAATTAGGGATTCGAGCAATGGGTGTCAATTGTTGGGTGTTCTTTCAGTCACATGTCGTTAGGTTTCGACCGATGGATACCGTTGATGACGACCAACGATGATAAGGAATTAAAATTAGAAATTTTAGAGATTTTATAATTTTGTTTAAAATTTCAATAAATTAATTTTCTAAATAATAATTTAAGTGGTTTTTAAACAAAACTTTTTAAAAATTTATAAACATAACATATCTCAAATAATTGATTTTTTTAATGATCATTATGACATAAACACTTAAAAAATAACGTTAAAAACGTTAAACATATACTTTGAGAGAAAAATTATTTAGGCACCTAAAACTAACAAAATAGTATAATCTAGACACATATTTTCTAATTAAACCTAAAATAAAAAGAGTCTAGCTTAATAGCTTATTTTTCAATTAGGCTTTTTATACTTGATTGTGACTTTTGAGAGTCGAAATCCGTGGGCGACGGAGTGATTTCCGATGAGCCCGAGGAACCGTGAGCTAAATTACAAAGAAACGTTAGGGTTTATGCCAATGCGCCTGCGATTGGACTCATCGTCATTCTCCAAAGCCCAATCCCTGAAGCCAATAATAATAGCTTATTTGGTTTAGGAAAGGGACGATTTTCAATTTTTTTTAGTGAAAAACATTTATGTAGTTAAATTTTTTGAAAAACGGTTAGAAAATGTAAAAAAAGTTAGAAAAACGATGATTATTTTTTTACTTTTAACTTTATAATATTTATAAAAATAAAATAATTTAATAATTTGACTCAAATTTAAATTCATAATGTCGGAACCGTCTTTCCGTTGCCCCCGTAATTGGGCTTCGACTTGAAAAATGGAATTGGAGTCGCCACCGACTATTTAAAACGAATTTAGGTGGGTCGGACACCATCTTATCTGATATGCGTTTTACCAAAAACGTGTCGGGTTCGGGAGTCGGTTACGGTCAATGAAGGATTAGCACCCTTGAACCGCCCTTTCGGTACCAATTAATTTGTCAGTTGTCTTTAATCGCGAAAATTAAAAAAAAAATTGAATTTTAAAACGTTCGATTCAAATTACTTACCTTTTATTGTTTGAAATTCCTCTAAAAAAAAGTCAAAAAGAATGCTTAGATTATAAGAATAAAAATAAATAAATATTAAATAAAATGAGGAAAAAAGGTTAAAAAAAGGTTAAAAATTAGAACTAAATAAATAAAATTATGTTAACAATAAGAATAATTAAAAAAAGAAATAAAATAAAATAAAAATTATTAAAAGGGCTAATAAATTAATAATGAAAATGAAATGAAATAAAATAAAATTAAAAGAAAAAAAAAGAAAATTCGAATTAAAGGATTACATTGAAAGGAACTAAACATTAAAGGTTTAATTGACATTAATTACGGGCTACAAGAAAAAAATAAGAAGTTAGAGTGGTTCAATTGCAAAAAAGATAAATTATTAATAGGATCAAATTGTTACAAATTAAAGTACACAGAAATAATCATAATGACCACAAAAAATATGAAACAATGTTTTTCACGTAAGAAATGTTGGAAGGATTTATAAACCTTTTTCACCAGCTGAGCGATTTAAAACCGCAGAGACTTGTCTGACGGATCACTGCAATTCCAACTGCATATCCATGCATGCTTCCAACATCTCCTGCATGTGGCTCATGCCCTACTG